ACCAAGCGTTAAACCTAGTATATAAGGCTTTTTATTCAAAACTAGTGTTGCTCTTGAGTCACTGCATGCTGGTTTGTAACTCCACTTTAATCCAACATTGACCCCATTTTAATCTCTTTCTTACAGGGAACACTGCAAACCATCAGTTAAACATGATTTTTAAGATCCCCAATCAGTATTAGAACATGTATAACAGACAACATGATTACAAATGGATTAACATCTAAAATACTTGAGAAAGCACCTCCTCCTCTACTGAGCCGACAATATCTGAGCTCTTGGTAGAACCCGCTGCCCCCCACACCCCATTTATGTAAATCAGAGCAGTGAGAGCTGGTTCATAATGCTATGGTGGCATCAGCTATTTCAGGGAAAACCTGCAACTTTTAAATTCGGTTTTGGCAGCTCTGAACACCATAAAAAATAGTGATTTCCCAGTGTTGAAAATAGAAATGCAGTTTTTCAGCGGGTAAGCTGCTTCTGTTAAGAATTTAGAATTGCAAACTTATTTTATAATAATTTTTCCAATTTACCTTTAAAATATGAATCCTTTGTCACCCAAAAGCCGCCTCCTGCATTAGAATTTGCTGGTCAAAGACAAGACTTTATATGCTTTAGATGTTTGTGCACAGTTAACGTTCAAGGAGCGGGGAGGGACTATTTAGCAAGTGAAAGGGGAAATAATCAGGAGTAATAGAATGAAAAATAAGGGAGGGAAAATTATGGCTTTGTATCAGGAGAAAACTCCCTGACTTTGAGATCTATTAGGCTGAAATAATTTCTTAAGTGAAGCAGTGGGAGCCCTGTCCCTGGGGAGATTTATATCTAGTCTAGAAAAAGTATTGGGAAATATTTTATAGGGAAGAATTGTGTGTTGGTAAGGGCTGGACTAAAGGGTCTCTTTCATCTTTAATTTCTATGTACAGTGGTTTAGGTTTTGTGGCAATTTCTTTGAGTGACTTGAAGGTTCTTAGGGAAATAGGCGAGAAGGGTTTCAAAGAGAGTAGCTTGATTTCAAAGTCTGGGGCAGAGGGATGTACTAGTCATTTGCAATGGGTGTGTTTGCTCCTAGAATGTATACAGTTCTGCTATAAGCAGCAACCCTATGCCAGGTGAGAAGAGAATAGACTCATCAGTAAAGCTGAGTGAAAATTTGTTGAGACTTTTTTCTACAAAAAATGGCTTTGCAAAGGAAACAAATTTTCAAAGAAAATTGTTTCCTTTGACATTTGTTGCCCAAAAAAGAAAACATGATTTTTTTCCCCTATATAAATGATCAAATTATTTTGGTTTTTCATGGAGAAAACAAAAAAAATTCACAAGAAATTCTGGAAAGAAGTAGAAAAAAAATTATGGAGAAAGTTTGGCATTTTTTTGATTGGATTTACTTGTCAGATTGCTATGTTCCAGGTGTCCTTCATGAACACAATCGTTACAGTTCTACATTCCCTCTTCTACTGTATATATTGTCATGCAGAGCCACCCCTGAAGAAACCACATTCCATGTGCCTCAGGTAGATGGGATGTTGGTGCAGGCAATTGCCGGTTATGTAGCTATAACTTCTCTATGCATGGAGGTGGGGATGGAAAAAGGACTGGTTAGAGGACAGAACAACTTGAGTGAAGGCGACAGGGGCCCAAGCCCTAAAATTTGGATCCCAGGCCTGATCTAAACTAACCTATGTCTGAGAGTGCTCAAAACGTGGGGCTTGGTTTGGCCTTATCTCCAGTAATGTTTTGTATGTTCACATAAGCTAATCAAGTCAGTTCCCTTTCATTACCCTGGGAGTGCATGACTGCCAAGCAATTCCTGTGCTTATCAAAACAAATGCTCTCCGTTTCTCCTGCAGAGAGACAGCGCCATTTCTGCAGCTCTGTGTTTATCAGTAAAGCATTTGAAGGATGCTATATGTACAGTAGGATATAATACATATCATGTGGATTCATTCCGATCTGTGCTATTTCAGTGACTGCAAAGTGCGTTCACTACAAGGCTATTGTTGCACTGTGTAACCCAGGGAGTTCTGTACACAGTTATTTACAGGTGGGCAGATTTGCCCCAATCCTGTTCAGATGAGCATTAAAGTGGGCTAATGCCTCCATTATAAATGTTATTTTTGTCTTAAACTATTGAAATCAACCCTTTTTGATTTCTCCCCCCCACCCCCCGCTTTCTCTTCACAAGGATCTTTGCCAAGCCAATGATTACGTGTGGCAGGACTTGCTAAAATAATGATAGAAATGTTCTGCTACGTGCTTTTGATTAAGCGGAAAAATAATTTCTCCTATGCAGAACATAGCAAAGGGATGGGCTACCCTGGCAACCCGAGCCCAAACAATTAAAGAGAGGAACCTCAATCACTGTTTTTTTTTTCTTTATGTCCCTGACAAAAATTGTGAATGTCCAGGAAATACTTTGATTAATAATAATTCACTGTACACAAAGTGCTTTCCATGGGTGGGTGTCATTATCTCCATTTCATAGATGGGGAAACTGAGGTACAGAGAGATGAAGTGCCTTGTTTAAGACTCCACAGCAAGTCAGGGAAGAGAAGGGCAGAGCTGAGAATACAAGGGAAGCACCTGGCTCTGTCACCCTCTAGCTGGTCATTTAAACCCATGCAAATTGAGCGCACAGTGGGAGTAATACATTCCCAGCCAGCATGGTAGCATTTTAGCCTTACTTTGCCCAGATGTAAATGAGGGCATAAGGTGCAAGGCAATGGAGAATCAGGCTTTGTTTAGGCCTGAAGATGTGCGATAGGGTAGGGGGGTATGATGAGGCGTAATAAACTAAATGAAGCAAAGGAACGATTAAATTAAGCGCCAAGAAAAATTGCTAATGGTAAAATCTGTTAAATTACAGAATAACCTCCCAAGGAAAGTAGCAAAGAAACCACAGCACCCGAGTGATTTAAAACAGACTGGACCCAGTGCTGGAGAATATACTCCAGGGACCTATCCAGCCCTGGAGCAAAGGGGCATCAGTTTATGACATTACTGAATGTTTAGCTGTAGCTTTATCATTCCTCGAATGGGATAAGTTTTTAAGTAGGTTACTGGGTTATCACAACAGCTATTTGAGTCCACATGATACCGAATAATAAGGTAGGAATGTTGACAAGATGGGTTGATAGTGCATAATTTAAAGTCATATAACATCAGTATGTATTTTGAGAGAGGCAAAAAAAAACCCATCCTTTTGTTGTATCACGCAGGGTTATGCTTCCAGTAGTGTGGCAGATAGTGATGTGTTAGTAAAGTTACTATTTACTGTTGAGAGAAGGAAAGCGTGAAATGACTCCTAGCTATCTGTTGGACTGTCAGCTCTTTGGGGCAGGGTTTGTGTCCATGTAGGCGTGTGTTCAGCACCTCGCACAACATGGCTCTCAGCCTGACTGAGGCATTTGGACGTGACAATTAATACTATGTTATACTGTCTGTGTCTGTGGATGGAATGTACTATGTTGGATCAGTAGATGCTGTCGCTAACGATTTGCAGCCATAATGAAAAGTGGTCTGAGGAATGTGTAGCAGGAGAATAAGCAATTATTTCCCACTTATTTTTCCAAGTGGAGAACGGTCATATAGAAAGGAAACTGTGTCAGGTCCTTGTATTTCAAGACCATATTGTTACTAGAAAGATCTCAGGGAGAACAGTCAGTATTCACCCTAGAACTAGTCAGAAGTATTAAGCTTGGCAGGACCACACAGAATTACAGTTTTTGGTTGACTAAAAGTGTGTGACTTTTCCCAGATGAAGAATAGAGCTGCAAAGTAAAGTGCTGTCTGTTCCATAACATATCCCATGTATTCCAAACCCCTGCTCAACTGGACACACTGTAGCTCCTGTTCTGGGAGGGGAGGATGAAAGTTGCTAAACTAGTTTACCTACCACATCAGTGCAACCCAGATGCCATCGGTAAGCCAATAGGAGTCACAGGACTGTGTTAAAAAGCCAAATACCTTCTCAGTCCATGCCGAATGGTTGGCTCCAGGTTTAATTGTATCAAGTCTAGATCCAGACACTACTTGGCTACGATTTACAATGGGTTGCATGTCCAATATTAGCATATATATAAAAATAAAAAAGCATGGGCATAGATGACAGGTTACATTCTATCCTATTTCTGATGTAGTTGAGTTTGGTGCTTTCTTTGCCATTTGTGTGTACAGGTTTTTAAAAAGTTTTCCTTACTTTTTTTT